CTCTCTCTCTCTCACTCACTCACTCACTCTCTCTCACTCACTCACTCCACTCCATTCACATCCACTCAGTTCTTGAGATCTTGTCTAAAAGGTATCCAATATTAAGAGCAAAGTATCATAAAAATAAATCCTCTATTTATAGCCATTCATAAATTGTAGTAAATCTTTGGCCACAAATGAATAATAACTTATCGCCGAATTCTTATAAATAATATTTCTTATAATTCAACAAAACATAGACTTAAAGTATATCAGAATTTTCTCCGCAAACAAAAAGCATTACTTTTATATATATTCGTTGAATGTCTCCCTCGGCTATGATTTTCTTCAAAGTTTTATATATTATTCACTATTTTTATGCATTCATAAGAATATAACTCATGTTTTGTATATAATTGTAATTTCTGCTCCGATTTTATACTTATTATATTTTAGTTCTACTGTGTTGTGAAATACATTGTTTTAAATGAATAAATAATAATAATATCATAGTTTTAGATAACATAATGTATTATTTTTAATATTTAAATTAAGTCTATGTTTTGTATAATTCTTTAATTCACTGAATGTCTATAAACTTAATTTTGTAATTATATTTTATTATAAACGGCATATGAAATATGTATTAATCAAATCAATTCAATATCAGTTTAAAAATAGATTAGTGTTAGTGTTGTATATAAATAAATCTTTTGAAGTAATTTCGGTCTTAATATTGGATCAAAAATATTAACAAAAAAAGGAGAGAAAAATCAATTATTTGTGACCGAAATGACCAAACGTTGCGTTGCATTGCTTTTTGTTACAAACAGAGAGTATTTGATCTGAAACTCAAACCTCATTTATCATTATATTTATTGTCTATTTTCATCATTACTTAATGACATTTATTGAATTTTCACAAATATTTTTTCATCAAATCTATCGTTGGTTGAAATTTCAGCGCAGAATGAGATGAACTCGAGAAATGCATTTCAATTCCTGTTCCCATTCATAGGTCCAACGAAACCGATTATTTCACTATAAAAATTGATTTATTACTGCTATATATCTCTATATATTAAATATATTTGTGCCAAACTTTTTATCACACTTTTCTTCTTTTATTGTGTTTCCACTTGTGTCCGGACTATTGGCTGTTCATCCCCTGTGTCTGCGATCGGTGTTGTCTTTTGTAGGTCTCGTTTTTCTCCACTTCTTCAGAGCTAAGCAACAAACAAAGGTTTGAATACTTCCTCCGCACTGTTCCCAGCGATAAGAGTCAGGCGAGTGCTATGGTTGAGATCGTTAAGAAACTTAACTGGACTTATGTTTCAATAATATATGAGGAATCCATTTATGGAATTAGAGTGAGTTTTCCCTCACATTCACTGTTCACTGTTTTTACAAATTATTATCAAATAACTTATACACACATCACTCCTCTCTCTCTCCCCCTCTCCTTTCCTCTCCTCTCTATCATACCATACACTCCGATACACATTAACCATAAATAAATCATATTTGCTTTTCATTGTTTTAGACATCATTTCCTATTTATAGAGAATATTCATATAAATATTCCCAATTTTTCATGCGTTTAATGTTATGTTTTTTAGTGAATTATTGGGATATTTTCCTTGCAATCTCTCAATATATTTATTTATTGTTTTATTTTAGTTTTTTATTTTTAAAATTCTATTTATTTAAGCAATTTATCTAAAACACAGAAAATTGATATTTTATTCCCATGAAAATAATCGTTTTATTATTAATACAAATAATATACGTATTAGTGAACAATCGGCGTGTCTTTCGTTCACTAAATCATAGATTGCCAGCAAATATCTCATGTTTTTTACTTTCATTTATTTTCCTATTCTTAATTCATTTAAGATGAAAGTACTTATAATATATTTATAGCTTTAAATTCAATTAATACTATTTTTAAAAGCAATTTAAAATTACAAATTAATGGTATTTTTTGCTTTTATTTCATTTGTCGTTTTATTCGTAATTTTTTTATGTTAGCATTAAATTGATTAACTTTTTCTCCAAAAATTGAGTGATTTTTACAAACAAAATACAATCTTAATTAACAAATAAGCAATTCTGTAATTAAAGCTACAAAGAAATCAATAATTGATTTTTATTTCAAACTATAATTAAGGCTTTTAACGACTTGGAAGAGCTTTTAGACCAAAACGACATTTGCATTGCTATTAAGGAAAGACTAACTAAAGATTCTGGCATTGGTTTGGAGAGCGCTTACGATAATATTGTCAAAAAGTTGGTCTCAAAACAAAACGCGAGAGGTATTTAATACACAATTCACTTTTAGTATATAGTAATAAATGTTTTTAAATGTTATTGTTTTTATTTTATTTTTTTGTTGGATAAGATTTAACAAATAAAATAAATTGATTTCTTTTGAGTCCATTATTGTGGTCAACAATCATGAGATACAGTATTATAAGCCAAGACATCGTTAGCAAAGTATGTGATGTATGAAAATATTTGCTTCAAAACTCAACGCATATAAACCTCATTGTATGCTATTCTGCTTACAATGTCTTCGGCTTAATATAAATCTCGTAAACAATGATAAATGGATTCAGAAGTTAATTCTTATATACATTTTTCATTTCATTTATAATTCAGTTTTTGATCATTAGATAGTTATATAACTATAAATATATTGAATTCTCTACGAGTAGTATATCTATTATATTATAGCTTATCAGTAATCACTGTATTATATAAGTGAATGATTGTTGAGATGTAATGTATAATATTTGTGGCGTTGATTGCATTATGGGAGCGAAATATATGGTCTCAAGCATATAATGATGCGCTAAATTGAATGATTGAATCCAAGGTGTGATAGTGTTTGGGTCGGACCAAGAGGTAGCGTTGCTCATGAAGGCTATCAAGAGGAATAACGCGACCGGACTGTTCACGTGGATTGGGAGCGACGGCTGGAGCGCCCGATCGTTAGTGTTTGCCGGAAATGAGCTTCAGGTGGAGGGGACGCTCTCCGTTCAACCGGCAGCCAATCCGGTGCCCGGTTTTGATGATTACTTCCTGAGTCTGACGCCGAAGACTAATTGGCGAAACCCGTGGTTCATAGAGTATTGGGAGCATTACTTTAAATGCAAATGGCCTGACAGTACGGTCACACCGTATAACCTAAACTACGCCACGTATGTATCTATGCATGTGTTTTGGTCCGCATTTAATGCCATTCATTCCCATATCAATACAATATTCTGTATACAAACACATATCGAGTGTATAATGGGTTTTGTGAGACAAACCTATCATTAGCCGTACATTCAATGTATTTTCGTTTAGACATTAATAACATAATTTTTTTCTGGGAATGCATTTTCGATATAGCATTTGGAGGCAAACATAATAATTCACTTCTTATTCATTATATTTAAGTCTTTGCACCGGAGATGAAAGGATGAGTTATGAGAACGGATACGAACCCGAAGGACAGCTCCAATTTGTCAGCGACGCTGTCCTCGCCTTCGCGTATGGTCTCCGGGATATGCATAACAAGCTCTGTCCCAATGGATACCGAGGAGTCTGTCCAGCCATGAAAGACAGCGACGGCAGTGTTCTTCTCAACTATCTTAGAGACGTCTCATTCCAGGGTATGAACCAAAACATCCCAATCCCTTCTCAACCTTTCTTACATTTTATTTTTGCATTTAATTGTAGTTTTATATTTGAATACATTTTTAAAAAGTAATTTTTGTTTTTATTTTACATTTCAAAAACATAAGTAAACCTCAAAGAGCTCTTATGCTGTATATATACTGTGTATAAGTTATGAAAGAAAAATCAATCAAAAGTAGATTTACTTTTGGTATAAATGAAACTTCCGGTAAACCGTCAAAACAATCAAATCTAATTAATCTAAACGAACATTAATTTAGTTCTTCTGTCAAAATTAGATTCAATTTTATTATTATTGTTATTATTTTTGCTCTCATTTACTGAAAGCTCGGATCATAACAAGAACTCAACTTTTCCTAAGATTAAACCGATATAAAGCCCTCAAAACATATTTATCATTAAATAATGGAAAAGTATTTTTCTCATTCACTTTCTTATATGAATAGCTCTGGTTTTGAAATAATAGCACAAAAAAACAATTTAAGTACAAAAGTGATTGAAATACTTATAGAAATTTTAAAACTTACTCTAATGAGCTAAATATAACTTTTAGTTAAGCATTAATTTTCTATATTGTTTGCAAAATAAAACCAATGGTCGGAATAACTGCAACTTAATATCATTGTAGACCTCTTTAGCCGACTATTGATTAATGTAATATTATTTATCAGAAAATCACTTATATTAATAGCCAATTGCTTTACTATGTAATGTAGGTCTGGATAATCACGAGTTTCATTTCGCCACCGATGGTGACGGTCCGGCCCGCTATCGCATAATACACTACAAACAGTTATCTGAGGGACAGTTTGATTGGATTAAAGTCGGCGAATATAAAGACGGGAATCTGGAGCTCAATCTGAGTGAAGTTCAGTTTCATTTAAGTGAAGCGATAATCCCGACGTCTGTGTGCAGTCAGCCGTGTGAGAGGGGACAAGTGAAGGCATATCTCGAGGGCGAGAAGTGTTGCTTTCATTGCCTAAACTGTACTCGATATCAAGTGCTCATATCGGAGACCCAGTGCATCGACTGTCCGGACGGCTATCTCCCGGACACCGAAAAAATGAACTGCGAGCCCATTCCCGAAGAGTATATGAGACCCGACAGTGTTTGGGGCATAAGTGCTCTGCTCTTCTCGTGGACCGGAATATTTGTCACACTATTCGTGATGTTTGTGTTTATCAAATACAACGATACACCAGTGGTGCGGGCGTCGGGCCGTGAGTTGTGTTTCGTACTGTTGGCCGGAATCCTCATGTGTTACGCCATGACATTCATTTTGGTTCAGAAGCCGTCGGACTATCTGTGCGGCGCTCAGAAGGCGGGCATAGGTTTCTGTTTTTCGGTCGTTTACAGCGCTATACTCACCAAAACCAACCGAATCTCCAGAATATTCAAAGCGGGCAAACAGTCGGCCCGAAGGCCGAGCTTTATTAGTCCCAAATCTCAACTCTTGATTTGCGGCGGACTATCGATGATCCAGATCTTTATAGTCGTGGTTTGGTTGGCATTCTCTCCGCCAAAAGCCATTCACTTTTATCCGACCCGTGAGGACAACCATTTGGTTTGCGAGGCGTCTATTAATGCCGGATATTTTGTTGCATTTCTTTACCCAATCTTTCTTATTGGTGAGCACTTAATGTCTAATACTTTAACCACTTTTCCTATTCATTCATAACTGTTCAGTCAATACTACGAGCTCTCAGTAACCGTTAGGTGTGATGTAAAGGACTTCTCAATTGATTTGGACAAACATTACTCAATACAAGTGAATAGAAAGAAGAGCTAAATTGCGAAAGCCTTACCATTAATACACAACTGTTATATGAATGTTGAGACATGGGTTTAGGGATGGCTGGGCTCAGGGAGTGCTCATTTGATGCATGATTTTTATTCAAACAAATACCATAAATAAAATACTAATAAATTCTTTGCATTTGTCAATGAAGTGAATGCAATGTTTTAATAAAAAGTCAATGTCTTTGACCGCGTCTTTGCAAAAAGTGTTTGTATTGACAATTGAGGCAAACATAGGCTCTCTTTCCTTGTTTAACATTCAGTCTGTGAGTCCTAAACACACAAATACTTCGCCTAAATCTCCATTGCATTGAAGTAATGCCACGATTTCCTCATCCCTGTTATGCTTGACTTGATTTCAAGTCACTGTTTGTATCCATAGATAAGTCATCCTTTATTTTGTGCGAAATACTAAATTTGAACAAAAGAGAGACAGAATTAGATATACTGTGAATATAATACAAATTTATTATTATTATATTGATATATAACAGACATTAGTCTTATAGAAATAGAAATAGATATAAGACATTTTATTTATAATTCAATGATAGTATGATATTGTGATGAATAATTCACGACAACCACTGTTTGTAAGGGAACTTCACTTGAATTTGAAACCAATATCTGTCGTAAATTATTATATTAATTATGGTAATCAATATGAGCTCAACTCAACATATAGTTAATGTCCTGTTAATTAACAAAACCAATCTATAAAAGAAATTTAATTAATGACAAAATTGTATTTTTCTTAATTGTGATGATGGATGTGATGGCCAGTGGTGTGCACCGTATACGCTGTGCTGACCCGCAAAATACCCGAAGCGTTCAATGAGTCCAAATACATAGGCTTTACGATGTATACGACATGTATTATATGGTTGGCATTCGTGCCCATATACTTCACCAGCTCTCAGAGCAATCACATAGCGCTCAATCTGACCACAATGTCGGTGTCCATCTCGTTGAGCGCAACGGTAACCCTATTATGTCTGTTCACACCCAAGATATACATCATTATTCTGCACCCGGAGAAGAATGTGCGCCAATCAATGATGCCTCACAACAAATACGGCACTCTTAAGAATAACACACAAATGACCGCAACCGCCACTTTGGCCACCACTTCATCCATTCGGGTCGAGTCCGCTACACAATCAGACGGTACTATCTTTTCTATACTTTTGTATGTCATGTGTTTGGTTATGATGTTTAGACTTTTCATTTAACAGAATATTCATTAATTATTGCATTAATGTAATTAATACAGTAGTGAAATAAGTAATCAAAAATGAAAAAAGTCTAAATTTTTTTAAAATCTTTTTTGTGTAGTACTTTTTTTCATTTCTTATTGAGTTTTTAAAAATATATTTTTTATTAAAAATACAAAAGTACTGCTATTTCTAAAGGAATCAATGATTTATTTTTAGGATTTTTACGTAAAATTTTGCACTGAATTGAATGAAAATTTATACAAAAAACATATATAGTTTTACAATCTATATATCATTAAGGAATATATCAAACAATATATTGTTAGTCTTTCTTTCAAAGATTGATAAATGAGACAAAAATAAATCTAAAACTAAAGC